CTAATAATGAGATGTTTAAGTATAATTCATTAAATAAGCAAAATTGAGCAATAGAATAAATACAAATTTACCAACTTCAACATTGCATCAGTTTTCAAAAATTTTGACGTTGTCCATAAAATCTCTCTTGGATCCACCCTATTTCATCTCATTGTAGACTCTTTGGAACATCACGATTATAAAACACAACTTGAACAAGATTTGGAACATCACGACTCTAAATCACAACTACATCAAGCATGAAGGATATAGAAGCTACCTACCTGTATTTTCCTTTTGAGATAAAATTAGTTAAATATAATTACAACTCGATCAAGATATAAAACCTACCTACATGCATTTGCATTTTGAGAGAAAATAAGTCAAGTATTTGTTTTCTAAGTAAAAATAGTACAATACTATAAATCGATATAGAACCTCCATATATGGAACTATTCCCCAAGCTCATTCTTTATTTTCTCCTTGGTTAATAATAATAGGTGCAATGCAAATAATATATGTAGTTTTAACATCTGGTCATTGAAATTTAAAAAAAAAAAAAAGAATAGCCTTTTGATAGAAAATAAGTAAAATATTTGCTAAGTGAAAATAGTAATAAATTGATTAACGAAAAGGGCCATTAAAGATGGTCTTGTTGGACTTTCCGCTAAAATCATATTATAAATTGTATATTCGAATCCATTAAAATTTTGCATAACACTTATTTTATCCAAATACTTCAAAGATTGATTGAAGTACTCCAAAGATCCATTGTTACCAACTGATAAATCTGAAGTACAGATTTGAGATCCAAGAGAAAAGAGAGAAGGAAGAACACGAGAGAGAAAAAGGAAAAACAACTTTGCATAAAATCTGAAAATGACAAAGTGCGTAAATGAATTAGGGTTTGACCTATTTATACTATGTTAAGAATGAAGACCTAAAATGCTACTACTATGTACATAAAACGTGTTTCACATAACCATATTACATAAATGATAAAATGCCTATTCTAACACCCCCGCAAGAGGAGCGTGGTTATTCATCATGCTCATCTTGGAAACAATGGTCTTGAAAGCTTGAACTCCAAGGGGTTTTGTAAAAATGTCTGCCACTTGGTCCTGTGAAGGTACAAATTGCAGTCCAATTTTGCCTTGTGCCAGCTTTTCTCGAATGAGGTGACAATCTATCTCTATATGCTTTGTTCTCTCATGTTGGACAGGATTATGAGCTAGGGCTATTGCTGATTTGCTATCTGAAAAGATGGTAATAGGAACTGAATAAGTGATATTAAAATCAGTAAGTATAACAACCATTGAGCCTCACAAGCAGTTGAAGCAAGGGCGCTATACTTAGACTCAACAGATGACCTACTAACAGTTTTCTGTTTCTTAGACTTCCAGGAAAGTAAAGAATTACCAAGAAAGAAAGCAAAACCAGAAATACTCCTTCTAGTATCAACACAACCAGCCCAATCACTGTCTGAATAAGCATGTAAAGATAAAGAAGAAGTTCTTGGGTAGAAAATACCTTGGCCCACAGTGCTTTTAATATACTTAAGCACCCTGTGTGCAGCTGATAAGTGTTGCTGGGTAGGTGCAATGAGATGCTGACTAAGTGCTTGAATGCAATAAGAAATCAGAACAAGTAGCAGTAAGCTTTAAATTTGAATCCATAGGAGTTTGAGCAGGTTTTGAATCCAAATAACCAGTGTCATGCAAAATATCCAAGGCATACTTTCTTTGGCAAAGATTTATACCTTTTTCAGACTGAGCAACTTTAATACCAAGCATGTATTTAAGTTTTCCCAGATCTTTTATAGTAAAGCAATCATGTAAATGGGACTCAACAGAATTAATCTCAGTCAAATCATCACCAGCAAGAATAATATCATCAACATAAACAAGTAATGCAGTGAAAGAACCAGGTTTATTTTTGATGAATAAGCTAGAATCAGAACAAGACTGAGTATAACCATAATTTAATAAAAAAGAAGTGAGTTTTTGAAACCATTGTCTAGAGGCTTGTTTAAGGCCATATAGACTTTTTACTAATTTGCAAACTTTATTAGAATTTGAAGGAATGTAACTAGGGGGAGGGGTCATATATATATCCTCATCAAGATCTCCATGAAGGAATGCATTGTTAACATCAAGTTGATAAAGAAACCAATTTTTGACAGAGGCAATAGCTAAAAGTAATCTAACAGAGGTAATTTTAGCAACAGGAGAAAAAGTGTCAAAATAATCAATGCCCTCCTCTTGAGTATAACCTTTAGCTACTAGTCTAGCTTTATACCTACCTAAGGTTCCATCTGAATTGTATTTAACCTTGTACACCCACTTACAGCCAATGCAATGCTTACTAGGTGGAAGATCAGTAAGAACCCAGGTTTTAGTTTTCTCAAGAGCAGTGAGTTCATGTTGCATAGCTTCCTGCCAATTAGGGTCTAAAACAGCTTGTTTATAAGACCTTGGCTCTTTTATTAGATTAATGGAAGCAGTAAAACAGGAATGTGATTCTTGAAGTCTGTCAAGAGACAAATGATTTGACAAAGGATGAAGGATGTTTCCAGATGTGATAGTCTGTGAATCAGTAAATGAAACATTGACCAAAGATGCAGGTAAAGAGTGTTTATAAACTTGTTGATAAGATGGAGGTTGTCTTGGTCTAGTGGACCTTCTGAGGGATGGATTTATGGTGGTGGTGGTATTTGTAAGAGATGAGTATGTATCTGTAGGTAAGACATTGTTTGATGGTGGTGTAGGAGATGGTGAAGAAAGTTGTTGTATAGCAGGCTGTTGTATAGCAGGTTGTATAGTAGGTTGTATAGTAGGTTGGGGTATTGTAGGATTTTCAATGTATGTATCAGGGGGAGGAGGAAAAAAAGGATCAGTAAGAGGGTGGGTAGAGAATAGGTCTTTATAAGGAAACACAGACTCATAGAAAATCACATTTCTGAAAATTATTGTATGCTTGGTATCCAGGTTGTAAAGTTTATGGCCTTTACAATCAAGAGGATAACCAAGTAATATGCATTTTGATGCTCTTTTGTCAAACTTTGATCTGAAGTACAGATTTGAGATCCAAGAGAAAAGAGAGAAGAACACGAGAGAAAAAGGAAAAACAACTTTGCATAAAATCTGAAAATGACAAAGTGGTTAAAAGAATTAGGGTTTGACCTATTTATACTATGCTAAGAATGAAGACCTAAAATGCTACTACTATGTACATAAAACGTGTTTCACAATACACTATTACATAAATGATAAAATGCCATATTCTAACACCAACTAATAAACAATCAACCAAAACCAAAAATTGACACTTAAACCAATTATTTTCATAACATACTATAACAACATTTTACTTGAATCGTGAGTAGTATTTTTTTTTTCCGGTTATAAAAATAATTCCTGCAAATCTTCATAAACCAACACTCTATATTTTTTTTCAATGTGTATTGGGAATCCAAAAAAATGTTGGACATCAACATGGAGAAAAAATATCGAATGTTTAGTTGTTTTGTGATTCCTGGAGTAAATAAGTTGACAAAAAGAAAAAGAAAATTGAAGAGAAGTTTTTGGGGATTTAGATGAATGTTTTTGATAAGTCGAAAAACAAAATTACTCTTGCCGATGTGATAAGATTGGAATGAATGATTTAACTGGTAT